GATCATCAAAGGGAAAACAGCAAACTGATTTTGAAATAAAACCAAAGTTTCCATTTTGGCTAGGCTGTCCATATTTATGCTCCCCACCCCCACCACCTGGCTTAAACCGAATCTTTTGGTAGGTGTTATTCCCTGATTTATATTTCTTCAAATAAATATGCAACTGCAAAGGAGGTTTGACTAGTGCTTGGTCTTACAGAAAATATTTATATGGGTTCAAGCTCACAATCTCATTAGTGTTGGTCAGCACTATTTCACAGAATTGAAAGGATGGTTTGTTATTAGTAATGTAAGTAAGATTGTAGTGGCACTAGCAAAGAATCTGAGCAAGAATTTTTTAAAGGAGACCTTTCATTTAAATCAATACATTATGTAATTAAGAATTTCCATATATTGATTTGCATAACGTGAGGTACACTTATATTTTATATATACTGCGATTTTTCCTCTTTAACACAGGGGAAATATGTAACTCTGTAAATGGCTCCTGACTGCTTCTGTTTGAGAGAACTGTCAATTTACCCCCAGATGAGCCTCTGAGAGCTTAATTGGAGTTATTATCTACTACTAAATCATCTTTAAGGCACTCTTCCTTTCACATTTGGCAAATGTGGGCATTCTGGACTCCTCTGATCAAGACTTTAGGTTGTTATTCCAACCAAAGCGGCCCTGGGTAATGGGGAGGGAAAAGCATAGCTTATTGTCGACTAAATAAAAGTTAGCTTTTGTAGAGCACTTTCTAATTTCTGAAGCACTGTTCACCTTATTTCGTTTAATCTTCCCAACAAACCCGTGAGGCAGAGATTCTATGCTCTCCTTCTTATTTCATAGATGAGAGGCCAGAGACTTGAAAAGACTAAACGAATTGCCAGGAATCACAAACAGTAACTGCCAAAGTCAGAACCGGGATCTAGATTTTATAACTCTAGTGTCAGTGTCTTTTATACAACTTGTTGAGAAGAGCGAAAGCACCACTCCCAAGGTGGTGAATATTAAAATGCATTTCTTATACTCAAAGTTAACAGCACATTTCTTTGTAAGCCATCTTAACCAGACATTTATTGGAAGGATTACTACCTGATTGCATTACCTCGCCCTTCCTAAACATGGGAAATTTCTATTTCTCCCTATAGACCATTTCACCGTCAGAAGATTGAACTAAATCTACGTTTAAAATGTTAATCAATGGCATGCCATCTTAAACAAAATTCTCCTGGGATTTTAGTTACTCCTATATTCTTAAAAGGAAATGTGAACCCCTGCATCTATTTCCCTATTTTCTTCCCTCAGTGGATTCCGGATAGGTTTAAATAATTCACTGCCTAGCCCCTTTTGGATAAGTTTCTACAATATTGGGAGGCCATGTGCTAGACCTGCAGAGGGGTTTATATGTCCCATTAGATGACTCTTAATTTGACTGCCTGGCTGTCTACAAATATGGCTTTTGATATCCCAAGACAAATGTCTGCCGTTAGCCCACCTCTCCATGGTGTTGATACACGTGTGTGACCATGAATTGTTCTATACCCAGGAACTGTGTAGGATATGCAATTTCATTGCTTTTCCCAACAGATTTCTAACTATCGCCCAATTTATTTCAGTATTCCCCATGTCTTTAAAAATGCTTTTCCTCCCCAAAGTGTTAAAAGGGAAAGGAAGAATGAATGGACCAAAGGAGAATGCATTATGTAGACTTTAAAAAGACACTCCAAAATAGGCAAAAAGTGTTTGTGGGCTGAATTATTTTGAGTCTGGATTTCCTACCTTGCCTTAATTTTTTTTTTTTTTAGTCCCATCTCAGTTTTTGTATTTAATTCCTACACTGTTTTAAACATTTCACTTCTCACTATGTATTCTATACTACACATACCATAATAAACACTGGCTCTGATCCTAACTTAGGCTTGATTTAAAATAGAAGTACTTAAGAATCTGAGCAAGGGGAAAAAAGCATACTAACACTCATGAGACACATTCTTTTCTCACGCCTTCTTCAGCCTATTGCCCTGGGCAGTAAATTGTATAGTAAAATAACCAGTTTATTATTTGCTGTTTTCTTTCGCTCTGCTGAGAAAAGCTACCATGCTGGCAAACCAACAGAAAATTTTAAAATGGAATACAATGTATTGCATACATGTTTGGTAAATGTGTTCAGCATATAACATCCTGTGATCTATATTTGTCTTTCAATTATTTTTTTCAGCTGGAATCAACAGAAATGTAATGAGTGAGTTTTTTAAATTCAATGGGATGATCAGAAATGCTCTAAGGAATGCAAGAGGTGTTTCTTGCTCTCCTGTCCCCCTAAAAATAAGAACAATCACCTAACAACTAAAAATATCTTTTTTTTTAAAAGGGAAAAGCAGATATTTAAGCAGCATTGAAATTTGTTTTTTGAACTTGTGCTCAGCTAATACTTCATATTTTTAGATTCTTAGAAAATGTTCAAAGTTTTCTCTTACAGACTTAATCTTTTTTTTTTTTTTTTA